GGTTCGATTATGGTTAAGGGCACATTGCCCAGGTTACAGGCTCAATCCCCAGTGTGGGGTGTGCAGGAATCAGCCAATCAATAATTCTCTCCCATCACTGATGTTTCTATCTCTCTCCCTCTCCCTTCTTCTCTAAAATCAGTGTGACTTAGTTGGTTGGAGTGTTGTCCCATACACCAAAAGGTGGTGGGTTCAATTCTCAGTCAGGGCACATACCCAGGTAGCAGGTTTGATCCATGGTTGGGATGCATATGGGGAAGCAGATGATTGATCTCTCACATCAATGTTTCTCTCTCTCTCAAATCAATTTAAAAAAATAACTTTTTCTAATATACCCATTCTCTCTTTCCCCTCCTCCCATTATCTTAACCATTTGTATGTCATAAGTGTCTATCGATGCAAGCAGCGGACCTTTTTTAATTAAATTAAAAATATCATGGCAGTTAACTGGTTAAAGCTGCCTCCATCATGAGATCCAGAGTTAAAGGAAGTTCATGGTGATAAACAGCAATGGTGTGAAAAGATAAAACAACTGCCCCAGCCTCTGACAGAACAATCAGTCTACTCCAGTCCACAGGAAAACCTTCAAGTCAACATGTCTTTTGCTTTCTTCAAATTTCTCACCGCATTCATGAACTGTTTACATTTTAATTCTATGTAAGTGATAATCTTCACTGAACAAGATATTCCTGATGCTGGAACTTTGGATGTTACCATGATGACAGTCTCTTTGCATACACTAGAAACTCTGCAGAGGGAAAGCTCTTTCTACATACTGGAATAACTCAATTGAAAGTTTTTATTTTTTTATTTTTTATTTATTTATTTTTAAAATATATTTTATTGATTTTTTACAGAGAGGAGAAGAGAGGGATAGAAGAGATAGAAACGTCGATGAAAGAGAAACATCGACCAGCTGCCTCTTACACACCCCCTACCAGGGATGTGCCCGCAGCCAATGTACATGCCCTTGACCGGAATCGAACCTGGGACCTTTCAGTCCGCAGACCGACGCTCTACCACTGAGCCAAACCGGTTTCGGCCAATTGAAAGTTTTTAAAAAATGGCTTAAGAATCAGAATTTCCTATTATGTACTTACCCTCATTTTAACCAGCATTCTTCCTCAATCTCTAGTGCACCCCTGTTTTACAGGAGGGGCTTATCAATCCTTTGTATTTAATGTCTGTTTGCTGAGAATCTATATGCCTTATTGTATGGACCTCCAGAAAAAATAAAAATCTGAGCTTTTTCTTTTAATGGAATACAAGTCAGAGGACTTTCAACCAGAGCCTGACACTTTAGGAACACTTGAGAACCTCAGAGAGGCAGACATTATCTAATGTAATGACGAACACACTGTTCCTTCCTTTCTTAAGACTTATAAAAGCACCACAGAAATGCTCCTGAAGAGGAAACCTAACTGCAGGCAGGTTCCTGTCATCACTCATCCTGTGATGAATGACATAATGCACATCCTGTTGCAGTACACATGGCAATGCCTTTGGAAGAAACACAAGCTTTATAGAGCAGCAGAGGTCATAATTGACAAAAAAACAAACAAACAAAAAAACCAAAAACAACCCTATGAATGCAATAAACATGGAAAAACCTTCAGTACACAGTCACTGCTTCCTCAGGAGGAAAGCCCTCTAAAGGTGTAAGAGCTTTCTGCAAGAAAACAAGCCTGCAGGATCAAAACAGAAATCAGACTGGGAAAATCTACACCTATAAGCAATGTGGGGAAAGCGGAACAACAGCCGAGCTTTGACTAAATACCCCAGAATTTATACTACAAATTAACCAATGTCCAGAACCATTAAGCTAAACTTTTGCCTTACTAAGTCTTGAATACCTTAGACTAGGGAAGAACCTGGAAATGTTCTGAATTGTGGGCAGAAGAAAAACCCCTCCTGTTTCCACAGAATATTACTGAGTGTCCTCCCCATCACTGAGAGACGGCTACTTACAGGGAGGAGAATAGAAACTGGAAAGGTTTTGTGTAAGGGAGATGACTATCCGTAGAAGCTTCCGAAGTTGGCCATGCTGCTGGGGCTAGTGGGCAAGTGAAGACTCTTAGGGTTTCTGTAGCATGAGCTATGGGATCAACAGGGCCGAGTGTGCAGATGGAGGGATCCACTGAGCTGTCCCAGGCCTAACAGCATGCAGACACTGAGGGATGCTCATATTTCTAGAGACACTGAGTTGCAGCCCTGCAAAAACATTGTACTCTTAATAAATGTCCTTCAGACTTGATAGGGAAGTAGAAGGGGAAATTATTTAGGAGGTAAAATCAATTGGCAATATTAGAGAACAGAAAAAGAGGATAAAGGAAGGAGGAAGAATGACTTGGAGGTTTTTGATTGGAATGAAAAATGGGAAGATGGTACAAATCTTTCAGAAAGGGAACCTTAATAAATAATACCAAAGCAAACACTTTGTAATTATATTCCTATTTATATAATATTTTTGAAATTACCGGTGAACTTTCCTTTAATATTAAATTGTTTTATTGGTAAACATATTTTTTCCCTACCATGAAACAAAACAAAACAAAAAACACAAGAAGCCAAGTATCAAAATCTGTTCCTTTGCCCTAGCGGGTTTCAGCAGGTAAGAGTGTCTGTCCTCAGAATGAAAGGTCATAGACTTGATTCTGGTCAAGGGCATGTACTTCAGTTGCAAGGTGCACATGCACATGGGAGGCAACCAATCCGTGTGTCTCTCTCAAATCCGATGTTTCTTTCCCTCTGTCTCTCTCACTTCCACTCTCTTTCAAAAAAAAAAAGAAAAAAAAATCAATGGAAAAAATATCTTCAGGTGAGGATCAACAACAACAAAAATCTGTTCTTTGGTCTTCTTTCAATCTGTGTTAATTTCAAGAGTGACAGAGCTGGCGAGAAACCAGATTAACATTATTTTGATTCAGATCTGCTCTTAAAGACATGATTTTGATTCTGTGTATTTTCAATGAGTAAAGACAGACCCTATGTAATAAAAAATTACTTTTCACACTTCACAGATAAGGCAGTTAGTTTCTACAGTGAAATAAAAGGTTAGAAACTTTTCTCCCCTGCGAGCAATTCTGAAGTCTAAGGCCCATCAGACGTGATCAACAAGCAGCTTCACCAGAAAGCGACTGCACTTCTCGTAGTTGTTCCTTACTTCCTACAGGTCAACAAGTTTAGGTGGAACATTTAGCAAAATTCTGCTTGACATTAAAGCCTCGGGAATACAGACAGGAATTCCACAAACTGATGGGAATTACAGGGTCCTACATAGGGCACTGAATTAGCAATAAGAGGTATCTATTTTAATAAACAGAAATGGTCTCTAGTATAGATAACTGAGACCAGTGTGGTTCAATCACCAGCCTGCCAGTAAAATTACTAAGCCACACAGGATTCAGACTCCCATCTTCAAAATTCAAATTTAGTACACTTAATTTCAGAAAAATGTGAATAAATTATCACCTGCAATAAAGGTACATATGAATATAAAAACATAATAATGAGCTTTAGTTTAAATAGTTCTGGTGTAACTAAAGATTTTATAGTTTCATAAAGTACACACACATACACACACACACACACATACACACACAACACAAAAACACAGCCTTTAAAGTTTTTTGCATGTACTGAAACTTGAACATTGGTATATTGGACAAAAACAAAGATAAACTTACTAGATTCAGCGATAACTACTATCTTTTCATAGTATTTTGTTAAATTTTAACAAAAATAATTCCTTCATTTTTAAAAGAATTCCTTCATAGTTTAATGAAGCTAATACTCTAAGTACATGCTATAAAGTAAGAAGAACTCATTAGACTGCCTGACATCATAGCTTAAACAATGTTTTGTCCAATAGTCTTTTCCGTAGCAATCGTCTTGATAAAATAGCCAGTATCTGGACAAACAATTTGGAAAACAATTTGAAGATGCTTATGCTCTACAACACAGTAACTAACGCACTGGGAGTACAGATATCAACATGGTGCTCCTCCGCAACGCCGAACATAAAAGCACGCTAACGAAGACCAAAAGACAGGATTCCACTTACGTACAGAACATAAAACCGCAATAGCACGTATTGCTAAGGGACGTATGTGCCTGCAGAAAAAATATTCTAAGTGCACAGGAATGACACAGATCCGCAACGGAGAGTGGCGGCCTCGTGGGAGGAGGGAAGAGAGGAGGGAAGGGAGGAGAACACAGAGCAGTTGGGTAGGTACACAGGAGTTCTTCTTCGTTATGTCTTATGTTAAATATTTCATGATAAACTAGAAAACATTTTTTCTGCCAGATGACAAAGTCCAGTTTATGCTGCCAGATGTCATGTAAGCTTGGTAATTATGGGTAATGGTTTTTGAGGTGGCATACGGTCTAGCCCTCCCTCGACCGCTCACCTTCTGCTATATGTCCACTATAAACTCACTGTAGCTCACCTGCCATTGCCCTGGCTTTCACAACTCACTCCAGTAATAGTTCCCCTATATAAGCAACATAAGTGGCTTACAGTGGGTAGATGCATAATAAATGTTAGTCTCCCTCTTTAAAACGAAAATGCCTTTTATTGATTCTCTCCTCATCAAAATGTCAACATAATGTCATAATATAAAGTCATAAAATAAAGGTATTAGGGAAAAGACAACTGGAGTAAGTTGTGAAACAATATCTTATTCTCATTCTTCCTTTAAAAAGCTTCAAAGCATTGGGTAAATCATTCAACCTCTTGAAGTCTATTTCTCCCTTCACTAAAGTCATGAAGCCAAATTGAAAAAATGACTCCTATAGTCCTACATATGACTGAGTGATATGTAGCTATGAACACCACTTGAGTTTCTGAGGCCTAAATAATATACAGACAAGTTATAGCAAGAGCTTTAAATGTTTATAATTTAGAAAGAATAATTTGACAATTCTAAAACTTTTTAATTTGGGATACTATAACTGCCTATTTTGTATATTCAAAAGAAAAGTTCTTTAGAAGTACTCACATCTGGTTGAATGGCTTTAAATACTGGGACATCCATTAGCGTTATTTGACCCTGAAATAAAAAGTAGAAACAAAAACAAAAGACAATTTCTTCTTTGGAATTCCATGATAATGACATATATATTGTATAATGACATATTAAAGTGATATTCTGTACTAAAATATATATATTGAATAACTAAGTCTTTATCAGAAAAATGTCAATTTATAAAGACTAAAAAAAAAATGAAAATTGAGTCCTAGTGGCATTAAATAAATATAAGTATTTCACATTATTTTATACCTACTCCTATTTTCTTATGAGATAAATGAGGTAAAGTTAAAAAGTAAAAATAATTTTGAAAATTTGAACACAGTTATACATGAAATCAAAACCAAAAATCAGATCTACTGGTTCATGGAGCTGTGTTCAGTATCAGGAAATCAATATATTCTGTTAATAAGTTAAAGGAGAAAGAGAATATAAATAAACATTTATGTCATTTAAGAAATAAAAGTTTTTCTGGGTAACTTTCATGTTATTGTAATAATGCCTTCACCTTTCATTTCTCAATTTTTTAATTTACAAAAAGTAAAAATACCCAACATGTCAATAAAGTCCAGTTGGCTTGGGGAGGTGGTAAAAGTAGGGACTATGAAAGCAATTACCATGAAGGTAAATACTTACTATTACTTACCACGCTGAAATAGAAGTTTATAAAGCTGCTCTAAAAATATCTACAGCTCTTCTTCCCTTTCCCATTTCATCCCTCTGCGTGCTCCATCCTTGGGTTACTCTCCCTTTTAATTCCCACCCCTAGCTTTATTTATTTTCACCAGGTCCTTTGCTGATCCTAAAATTCTAGCTCAATAACAACAACAGGTAAACCATGTGCAAAAACTGGAGAAAGGAGGGGGAAGGCTTACCGCATATTCTTCTGGTGTAACCTTAAGAATATCAAATACCACGGCATCAAAGCTTTTCTTCAATTCAGAACCCTTGTCACTTAATGATTCAGAACTGCTACTTTTCTGTTAAAGTAAAAGAAAATGAAAAATCAATAAAATATGTAAAAATAAATAAATAAATAAATGGTAAAAAATAAAATAAAAAAGTAAAAGAAAATGAGCCATTTTAATACTATCTCATAGTCAACGTCACAGAAGTGAGATTGGCATTAAAAACTGAGGAAACTGAGTAGAGTGGGTTAACAGATGCTGCAGGAAAGTTGGGCAGAATGTGTTCCTTATCTGGAAAAGCACAAGATAAAAGGTCAGGCAACTTGAGGCATAATCTCAACTTCAGGTGTTTAGGTTCCCGAGTAAGACATTTTATTGTCTGTCAGTTTCCTCGCCCTGACAACCCTATTATTTCTATTGAAATACAATATTTTAATAAGTTCAATGATTTTCAAATGGGTTAAAAGGGAAGTTTAAAGAGAAGGATATATCTATTTATACTAGTAATTTTTAGACTAATTTTTACTAAGAAAAGGAAAGGTTATTTTCATAACATAAACCACAAGAAAATATTCAAAATTCTATTAATTAAATAATCCAATACTATTTGTGACATGAATGTCTGTGATACTGCAATTGATACTATTCTTCCTATTATATTATAAATTTTCTACTGTAAGGTTACTATTTTGTTTGAATTTGCTATTATTACATGTAGACCAAAAGGTGGCTTTTGGCTCTGAATATCTTATTTCTGGTCAGTTTCCATCTCCTCTGACCACATGATAAAAATGTACTCTGCATCTTTTGGCTGGAATCAGAGCTTCAACACTGTAACAACATTTACATTATGCTCTACTAAAAGGTAGCAAGAAATCAGGCACAGTTCATGGCAAAAAAATTTCACCAAAGTTTCCATTACCAAGGTATAATATGTCAGCCTACCAGCTGATAGACACCAATTTTGAGCACTTGTCCTTATGCCTCATTTTTACTTTTCCACTCTCTTTCAGGAGCAGCTAATTACTAAAATCCTTTACAAAGGAAGGGATCCATCATTAATTCTGGAAAGCTCTCAACCATAATTACTTCAAATATTTCTTCTGCTCCCCTTTCTCCTCTGGCAGTCCCGCTCTGCTACAACTCTCACTGTACCACAGTGGTTGGATAGAGGTCTACTTTTTCATTCCATAAATGGCTTTTCTATATTTTATTTGATGTGTTTAATCTCTGTAACTATGACAAGCTTACAGTATGTCAACAACATTATTTTATGTCCTAAGACTAATATAGAAATTTATTCATAATGTTAAGTATTCAAACAGAATTCAATTTAGCAGTATCCACTAATCCAGTAACCTCCCAGTCAGGTAGTAATCTGGTAATTAAATATACTTGTAATTTTTTCCAAGTTTTTAACTGCTTTAAGACAAGCCAGCAAATCACAATGGTAGTCTTCCATGAGTAATCTCTTTCCTTTTGTCCTTAAAATTACAAGGGATGTGCTTCTATCTGCTTTCCCAATACCAGTAAACACAACAGTGATGATAAGAAGCTAAGCAGTACTTAAGCATAATGTACCCTAAGAGAACAGTTAGTAACTCTCTGTTCAACACAATACTAAGCAAAGTACACATTTCTAAAAGTCTGAAGCAAAGTTTACTGTAACTCTACTGATATTGGAAGCTTTGAGAGCTCAGGTTAAGAATAAAGGTATGTAATACTTTCAACAATAAAGATAAATTTTTTAAAAAAGAGTAGAGATACTGAGAAAGAAGAAGTCAATCACCCAGAGAAAGAATCTTGTTCATTCTTTAAGCTTATCACATTTTTGAGAAATCTTCGTTTTAATATATTAATAGATCTAGACTTTAAGAGAAGATGAAAATTATTTTTATATCTGAAGCCTAATGTTATTCATTCACTTTTAGGAAAGTCAACAAAATTTTGTAGAGAAGTGAAATGATCCACTTTATTTAACTAATAATTGTGTACTGCTTCAATACTAGATAAATGTTTCAGGACATATAGTTATTAATATGCCATCCACATACACATATAGTTAACATATTAAAGTAATATGGCTATAAATATATCAAGTAAACATACATATAATACAAACATACATAAACATGTAATATAATCCCTGAGGAAGAAAAGCTATCTATAAATTTGTGAAAAAATTATTAAAAAGTATATTTTTAAGTGATAGTTTCAAAAATAGAAAAGCTCCCATCTGTTTAAGGGATCAGGAAAAGACTTTCCTAAGAATATAGCATTTGAAACAGGTTTTGAAAGACAGACAACATGTATTTTTTGTGCAGTGAGAAGGAGGGACACATCAAAATGAGAAAAGAAATTCCAGGTAAAAAAATGACATAGGCAGGTATAACAGAAGTAGGAAAAGCTAAGGTTTATCGATATATATATTCTTTCATGAGACTATAAATTTCATTTTATAGAGGATTAGCAGCAGTTAAATCCATTAGAGAACAAATTTAGGGCCATTTTGAGAAAAGTCTTGAATGCAAGGTTGAGGGTCATTTGTATTTAATTAGGCAATGAGGAACCACAAATAGTTTGGGGGTACAATAAAGTTTAACAGCTGTATTTGAAGAATGCTAAAATTGAACTGCAGTCAAATGGACCAAACCCAGCTTAGTAGAAGTATAAGATCAAACTAAAAAGCTGTTGTAATAATTCAGACAAGAAATAATAAATGATCAAACGAAGACAGTGCTAGCAGAAATAAGGAGGAAAGCACAGGACCCTAGAGATAAAGTGTGGGGGACAGGCTCTAAGGCAGCTTCCAAGGATCTCTCTCTCTTTATAGTCACACCCTTGTTTAATCTTTTCGGCTTGAGTGGGAGCAAGACCTATGACATGTTTCTAACCAATAGAATAAGCAGAGATGACAGGATGGCAGTTCTAGGACTACATTACAGAAGACAGTTAATTTCAGTTTTGCAGTTAATTGTGATGGGCAAAGGGGAAGTAAGTGAATGAGAAATCTAAAAATTTAAACTTAGAAGCCCTGACCGGTTTGGCTCAGTGGATGGATCATCAGCCTGCAGACTCAAGGGTCGCAGGTTCGATTCCGGTCAAGGGCATGTATCTTGGTTGTGGGCACATACCTAGTGGAGAGTATGCAGGAGGCAGTTGATCAATGTTTCTCTCTCACTGATGTTTCTAACTATCCCTCTCCCTTTCTCTCTGTAAAAAAAACCCCAACAAAATATATATTTTTTAAATTTTAAACTTAAATGGCTAAAGAGATGGAGATGCTATTAACAGAAGTCTGAGAGAGATGGACTATTTTCTTTACAGGTTGTACAGCAGTAATTTGATTCTGTTCATTTTGTAATTAAAATGTCTGGTCCTTCAGAAATGCTTAATAAAACTTATGAGGGAAGCCAGAGCTAGAGATAAAAATATGGAAATTATTTTTTTAAGACAAATAATACAAACTATAGGCTTAGAATAATTTCAAAAATAGCAAGGCCCAAATAATTGTTTGGGGCAAAATAAAGTTGAAGTTATTAAAGAAATTTGAGGCCAAGGTGTTAAAGGGCCACTATTCTCAAGCTATACAATAAGAGTAAAATAAAGGAAGAGCAGGGAAGCTGGATGCTAAATTAAGGAAAGCTGGCAAGTACCCTAGATTTATAGACAAAACAAAAGAGAAAAAAAAAAGGTGAGGCAAAAATAATGAGATATTAACTAGAGAGGTGAGCACCAGTTCCATCTTCATCTCCATCCTTAACACTCTAAACTACATCACCAGCGTAGCCCTTCCTAATCCAGCCTCGTGGCTCTTCAATCTCTTTCAATCGGCTTGGAATCACGGGTTCTAGACAGTGACCAAAATTATACGTACAATTCCAAATAAAAGAATCTTTCTGTTTCTCTTTACTATTGCCCTCAAGGTTCATATCATGAAAAATACCCATAAAAGAAATTCTAGGTGTCCTTTAGAACTAAACCCAAGAAAGGATTTTAAGTAATCATTATCTGTAAAGCATTTTAAGTAGATAAGGATTAGCTGTTTCTAAGATGCACAGTGAACATCTATATGGCACAATTAAAACGCTTGGTTTTTAAAATAAAAAATTTTAGCCCTTTTTTAAGTTCTGATTTAAATCTGTGAGCAACGATTATGCTTGAAAAGTTAGAATGCCAGGTAAGAAGCTTTTGAAGGCAACTTCTTCAATGTCTTACCTCCGAAGCGGTAGCAGCAACATTGACACTGCTGGCCTGCCCGTTCAGTAGGTCCATGCTTCCCACAACATCAGTCCTGCTGCTATGTCAACAGCACAGAAGACTGACTGACTGCTTCACGTCGAAGGCCACAAATACATTATTATTCCTGTAAAAAAGAAAATTTTAAATGTGTGTTTAATTATTATTCGAAGTTTAAGAAACCAAATCCAAGCGTATGACCATGTCAAGAAACACATTTTTTCAACTTTACTGAACTCTTTCTTATTTCAGTTAAATCACGAAAGCCAGTTTGAGGACAACCCAAATGCTATTTCACATGATCAGAAACACCAACGGACAATGTTCAGTACTGTTATGGTTCTTCATCATCAAAGCAGAAGTGCAATTTTTTACTTATTGTGAGAAAAATTAAAAAAAAAATTTTTTTTTTTACTTTTAAGTAAATAAAGTATTAAAAAACACATGGCCTAACAATAAATGTTTAGAGATCTTAATGACATCCTTTATTCAACAATGAGTAAGTTTACCATGGCTGATAATCTAGTTTACAAAGACATTACAAATAAATAAAGTATTATGGAATGTGTAATAAAAATACCACAATATGTATTTATTTGTATAGGGTTTTAAAGTTTATTGAATATCTTTAATCCACTGTCTCACTTATCTTCACAACTATCAATAAGACTAATTAAGGAAGATATTTTACTCATGTAACACAAAGAAACAGCCTGTGAGGACAGAGGATGGTACATGAGCAGCCAAGAATAAAGTTCAAGCTATCTAAAATTCTGGTCAAATATTCTCTCCACAACCCCGTATTTCTTTCCACTTTACTAGAAGTCAGAATATTTACCTGAGGTTCTAATCCCTTTCCACAAATAGCTTCACCTATCTAGGGCAGAATTTCTTCCTCTCTGAAAATTAAAGGAATAAATGGGCCTTAGAGCCCCTTTCCAACTATAAATTTCTATGATCATTTTTGTTCATTTTATTTTATTTTTCAATTACCATATACATCTAGTATTATTATGTATTGTTTCAGGTGTACAGCATTTAGATAATCACATACTTTATAAAGGGTATTTTCTCCATTGATTTTTTTGAGATAGTAGAAGGGAGGGAGGGGGATAAAGATGGAGGGAGAGGAAGAGGGAATACAAAAGGAAGGGGGAGAAGGAGAGAGAGTGCTGTGGGAGAGACACATAAATCATAGCCTCCCACACGCACCCAACCAAGGATGGAGATTGATCCTGTAACCCAAATATGTGCCCTTGACTGGGAATTAAACCCGCTCAGGCCAGCACTCTAACCACTGAACCACACTGACCAAGGCCCTCTCATTCAGTTCTCTGATGTTTTTCATAAGAGAAATGCTAAATGTCTATAAATTAGGTACTTAAACTATACCCACTTAAAAAAGCTTGAAATAGCAATAATAATTCTTTTGATGCTAAGTTTCCTCTCTCTGGAGTGCATTATGTGACAGTGATTCAGAAGCACACTAGAACAGACTGCCTAAGTCTGTACACTGTTGGACTTCACGCTCACTTTCCTCACGTACAAAACAGAGCTGACAATGAGTACTTACTTCACAGAGTTGTGTTGAGGAGAAATGAATTAATAAAACAGTGCTGACACAGGGTTAAGTGCGATATTATAATGATGCATATTTTGTCTACTACCTCCTTAAGCTACATAATGCTCACATTTAGTGGAGCCTTCTAATTAAAGAAAACAAAAACCTTAGAAATATACCTCCAGCAAAATATCTGTTGGTGGGCATCACCAAAATCCTAACTGCAGACACCTGAATGCTTAAAAATTATTAGTAATGGTAGTACCCTTAGTCACATCTTAAGTTTATCTTCATTTCTTTAGATATAATCTCAGAACCAGCTAAGAGTAAAACATTGTGCTAGAATTTTTTAAATGAAAGTGTATTAGAAATAATGGTTTTTAGCCCAGCCAGCATGGCTCAGTGGTAGAGCATCAACCTATGAACTAGGAGATCATGGTCTGATTCCTGGTCAGGGCACATGCCTGGGTATGTAGCCTTGATCTCCAGCATGGGACATGCAGAAGGCAGCTGATCAATAATTCTTTCTTATTATTGATGTTTCTACCTATATCTCCCTCTCTGAAATCAATAAAATACATATTTAAAAAAATAATGGTCTAAAACCATTTAGAATTCATTTAGAAAATCAATGTAAAAATGAATAGCTCACAGAAATATTTTAAATTTCTTCAATCCACAGTATTTGGATTAGCTTCACTATTCTTAAAAATCCAAATTCTCTCTGAAGGCAAACTCAATTTATAATGAAATGTTTTCAAATAATTTCACTTTATTCTACATTCTATGAATAAAGATTAATTTAGATATGAATTAATATATCAACAGTGCCCCCTAGTGTTAAGAAAAATATTTTAATTAATTAGGGAATGTATACTTAATCTACTTTATATCAAATATATACATTTTATTGCCACTATTTACTGAAAAATAGGTAATAAGGACCAAGAACTAACATTAATACATTGGTGAACTATAACAGTAAGGCCAGAGAGATTGATAATCTATATCAAGATTCAAGTTTTCTTGACCTGTTTTTAAATAAAATATCATTCAAATTATTCCTCAAGAATTAAAGTCATATTAAAATAAATTATGCTTTTAGTAAAAAAAAAATAGTATACAGCAAAGCATACCTCAAAGAATATCCTATTCATAACTATTTACAAATACACTACATGCCAACAATATTTAATACTGTTTAAGGACAACAAAGCCTCATATGATACCATAAAAACATTGTAATTCCTAAAAGACAGTTTATTTTTTTTTATTAGATGCTTTAAAACTTTCCTGGATGAGGATTAAAAAAAAAAATTCAAGTGGACAATTATAAAGAAACATGAAAACAGGAGTGACAGGTCCAGCAGAAACTAAAACTTCTTGTTATATTTTTATAAGTTTTGTGGGGGGAAAATGGCATAGGTAAGATTAAAACACTGTATTTGTAATTCAATAGCTACATAAAAGTTATTTCGAAGCTTGCTTTACTTAAAAATTTATTATTAATTTAACATTAAAGACATATTTTATATGACAGTCATAGAAGGCCCAAAGATTTAAACGGTCTATATATATCAGAGCATAAAGACTCGCTCACTTCAGCACATGTGACAGCTAAACTTGAATGGCCTCCTTAATACTGTTGACTTACAAAAATGGTAGATTAGTCCAAAATTTCCTAGTACTTTATTTCCAACAATTATAGCTATCAAAATGCTGATGAGTAACAAAGATTGTGTTTTCAACATAATTGATATTGAGCTATTCTGACTAAAGTTTAATTAAAAAATGTGGTTGCCTCTTAAAACCATTTCTGGTATAGTATAGCATTAAGCAAAATTATCTTTCTTCTTTGCCTCCCCTTAAAAAGTGTAAGTCATTACAAAGGAAATAGAAAGGGGTCCTGACGTACACCAAGGGTACGTCAGGACACCCAGTGTCTCCCACAGAGGCTAATGACATTAATCTCTTGCCATTTTTTGTGCTTTTGATGTTCTTTTTAAAGTTCTACTGCTATATTTTTTGCACTGATTTATCTCCTTAAAAAACTCATATTTATAACAAAACACATAAAAAAAAAACAACTGTTTTTTATTCAGGCACATAAATGCAATTCTTAACCTCAAATTTAATAAGTACCTGTGAAAGAATGAGTAAATGACTGAACAACGAAGTCATTATATGAACGTTTGATTAATAATAATACAGAAAAAATGGCAATAAAATAACCAATACACACAATACTATACATATTTAAAAGAATATTATGAAGATTTCAATTTCCAGCAACATGGCTGACAAAACAATACAAGAAATCTTGGCTGGAGTGGCTCAGTTGGTTGGGTGTTGTCCTGTGCACTGGAGGTCACTGGTTCAATTCCTGATCAGAGCACATGCCTGAGTTGCTTGCTCTATCCCTAGTAGGGAATATGCAGGAGGCAGCCGATCGATGTTTCTCTCTCTCTCTCTCTCTCTCTCTCTCTCTCTCTCTCTCTCTCCCCTCCCTCCCTCCCTCCCTCCCTCCCTCCCTCCCTCCCTCCCTCCCTCCCTCCCTCCCTCCCTCCTTTCCTCCTTCCTTCCCTCCTTTCTCCTCCCTCTCTCCCTCCCTCCCTCTCTCCAAATCAATAAAAATAAAGAAATTCAGAATGAGGGATTGAATTTTGGTGACAGTAGGATAGCAAAGAAAAACCAAGATAAGATAATGGAATTGAGACCCATACATTCTCCTTCCCACCCCATTCCCACATCTTTACCCAGAATAAAGCCAGAGACTGAAAGTCCACCTCTATCGCTGATATGATCATCTATTCTGAAAAAATGGATACTGGTACAGAGAGATAAGGAAACTTACATGTCTTGGCTTAGGCTTCGCACAGAGGCTGGAGAAGGACAGCTACAAATCTGTCTATAAATGGGTAATCTAGACATGCTTCAGCACAGACATGGAATTTGAATTTATACTACCAGCATGGTCCAAGACCATCAATACAAGAAATTCACATTTAATATGTTCATAAGGCAGTGGGAACCCAAGGCAGATGAAAGCAACAAAAATATGGGGGAGGGACTTTCTTTTAAACCAGGCAATGTGGGATTTTCATAGATAAAGCCCCAGTGGCAAGGTAGGAATAAAAATTTACCAAATCTATAAACAAATAACCCCACTACAAGTAAAAGCAGAAAACACAACTATTATTAGGTTATCACTTGAGAGCTTTAGATGTGAAATTATTAGATACAAGGCTATCAAAGAGGAAGATTAAAACCTGCAGCCTTAAAGGAGAAACTGAAAAAGACAAACATTTGTAAGAAAACCACGTATTTTTTAAAAAGAAAAAAAAAGTCATTGGAGAAGTAAGCATCAGATTAAAGAATTAAAGAGAGAATTTGTGAAGAATTTATATAATAAAACCCTAATATGCAAATTGACTGAACAGCGGAATAATTAATTGCTATGATGAGCACTGAACAC